TAAAAATTCACAAAACTCATAACACTGTGTTGCAAATACTTGTCCACTGAAACGCACTTAAATCATTATAAAGGACCTCGCACGTCACTAAATATCAGTTCAAAACAAAGATCTGGGCGCTTACATACATACAATTCAATATCACAAAAAAAAACGTTCAGAAAAACGATAGTAAAAGCAAGCAAGAAATACGTTACATACTAAACAATAGTGTTGGGATTCTGAAAAAGAGTTCAACGTCTTGAGTTACACAGTGTCAGTTACAGCGTCCAGCGAGCGATTCTCTAAGCAATACACAGATAGCTAAAATTCTAATCAAAGTCTAAGCGTCTCTTCTCTTTTCGTTGCGTTAATCCGGGTCGTTCTTTATCATCATATTGTCTTTAATGTCGCTCAATTCTTGATTATTCAGTCCTATTCGATACTCGTCCTCCCTAAGGGGCTCCGAAGTCTTCATGTCTTCAGCGTTGTTAACGGCGTTAGTCGTCAAGCGCAGTTAGTGCCATCGAGCTGCTAGTTCGGTTCACAAGAAAGACATACATTCGCCATTTCACTTTTCTTCACAGTATGTCAATGTGTGTTAAACACCTGCCCGGTTTCTCCACCACGTATCACGGGGGAAATTCTTCTCCTCTCTGAGGTTCTCCACGTGTCAGGGGGGAATATCGTCTCGGCTCTATATCGCGTCCCCTTGAGGTACGGGATCAGGAAAGTCACTTAAGCTTTACAGTCACATAAGACACACACAACGAAATACGTTTCAGCTCTCGTCTTTAGTCAGTCAGTCAGTCGAGTACTCTATAACACACAGCGCCCTGGGGAAAAGTCCCTAAGACTATCGCAAGGCTGACCCAAGACTCTCCAAGACTGCCTTAGACTAGACTCACCCCAAGACTGCCTCTCTTCTCGTGTTCTCGCCAAGACCAACTAAAACAACTTTATTCACTTTCAAAACCTTAACTAATTACAAAGAAGTAAAAAGACTCTAAGGCGTGGCCTTCACACATTCAACTAATCACACTAGGTACTGAACACGTCATATCTTTTGATTAATCGTCCACTATATAAATAATTGTCAGAAATAGTAGTCCGAATAGCGACGGTTATATCGTAATTAGTTCCAAATCACTGAACCAAGTTCCGTCCAGGACCTCGCATGGGCCTAAACGATGACAGATATAACACAGCCATTCGCTAGTAATCAACTAAATTAGTCGATCAACAGATACGTGCAAACAATTTCATCATAGATACTTGATATATGCATACCTTGAATAGACCTTTATTACATAAGTTTCTGCTGTGCATTAGAGGAACACTCAATGCTCTACTGAAACAGAGGAGCTATTTTGTCCGACAGGTCACTTGTTGATTGTCTACCATGAAATACAAGGCAAATACAAAATAATTGTAAAGCTGCTAGGGTAGCAAGGTTTTTATAAACTTCAGACCAAACATAAACATACTCAACATCTAACTCTTTGTCACAAGCAGACAACTTTTGG